TTTAGACAATCACCACTGCTACTCCAGAGAACAGAGCTACTCCCTCCCACTTCTATACTGTTTGAATAATTAATTTAATTTCGAAAAAAATACCTTTAAATGATCTAGTCTTAATTACTTTAATTACTCCGTTTTCATTTTCCTACTTTCCTCCCTTAATAAATTTTTCTCTCCAGTCCAAATGAAAATCTTGCTCCTGATGGAGTACAATAAATTCCCCCGTGCCATGTCTCATACTTTGGCTTGAGAAATTCAAGCGACCAGTCCATACATGAGGTGCCAAATCATAAACAACCCCACCATCACCAAAAACCAAAAAATGATCATTTCCCCCATGTAGTGACGATCTTCAGAATTCCCAAGCCAAGCCAAGACAAGTAGGGTGGCGAGAGCCAGTGAAAGCGCGGTATGCGAGAGTACTACCACAGGTGCAATCGAAGTTTGCTAGTCCAGTGCCAGGTCTTGGAGAAATTCGAGACAGAGTTTCCCCTACATACCTAAGTGTATTTGGTGATTGGTCAATACTGTTTATGTGTATCTTTCAACTAAGGACTGCTGCTATTTATAGACCTGCAAACCAATACTATTAAACACGACTAATAAGATACGGATTAATGAAGACCTTAATTAATTTACAAAGGCAGGGCCTATTAATTAAGAGAAAATAGATATTGTTAATTCGGGTCTATTAAAGTGGACTATTAAGCGAAATAATGTGGATAGGTTTGAGTAAATTTATATAGTGCGCTGCCCTGATAAGCAGTAGGAATTTTGTATTTTATAGAGCAGGCCATTTGTCATCAACAGGTGTGACACAGAGTTGGGATTTGTCGTCGATTAATTAAGGGCATGTGATGACAAGTTAATCCATTATAAGAGGACATTTAGTTCAACTTACATGTCATCCCTTAGCAGTCCACAAATTAAAATTCTTAATATTAAGAAAAATCGATTCTTACTAGACCTCATTTAAATTTGAAGTTTCACCTTGAAAGTACTCCTCCAAGTAAAATTGCTTGGCAACTACTCAGGCCAGTGCCACTAGGTTTATTGAGACGAGAAGTTGGTTATATATATATACATTTAATATAAACATTTAAATAAAGTCACACTAGTAAGATAATTAAAAAGGCTAGGTTATTAAGTGTATTAATTGATATATACTCTAGGAAAATATTTAGGCAGCAGGTTTAAAATAAATTCACTAAATACTGCTAACACTACTATACTAAAATTATATTAT